TTTTTTTTTTTTTTTTTTTTTGGTACCAGGGATCGAACTCAGGATCTTGCACTTGCGAGGCAGGCGGTGGGTCCACTGAGCTAAATCCCCAGCCTAGAAACTTTTCCTTTCTAGGATCTTCACACTCCCGGAGATCTTTGCTGACTCTACAATGCTGTGATGAAGGTCACTTACTGGTTTGATTCCATCCTTCTCTAAATGGTTCCCCAAACATGACAGGCTGGTCCTCAGCAGAATATCTCACTTGAGGATACAGGGTGCCGGAGTGCCTCTGATAATGGAAATGTTCTTTCCGCTTCAAGAGGTCAGCAGGCTTCTGCCTTACCCTCGTCTCCACATTTGATTTGGTGGATTTTGCTACCTAACTTGGCCTATTTTCCTTCCCTGACCACATCGTCTTCCTCGTTTTCTTGACATCTTTTCTTTTTTACATCAATCTAGGTGGTTGATTGTCAATTCCTACTAACTGTGCTTATTTTTAATTTTAGTTGGGATCTAGGTAGAGGGGGAAATACCAAAAAAGTATTCTTTTTTAAAACAACCAATGAGAGAAATAGATCCACCTGCAACTTTAAAAACATCTGTCATAAATAAATAATCTAGGTCAAGAGGACTTTTACTATATCAAAGTGTTATTTAAGAGACGAGTCTATTTTTGTCCCAAACTTATCTGTATTTTGCAAAATCCTTTCATGTTTCATTTGGTGCTCCTAATAACCTTATGTTTTAAGTAAAATATGTCTTTTTTGGTCAAAACCAATGAATGAGTGAAACAGTGGCCCTCCTTTCCTCTCCTTCCTCATATTTTTTCTTGTCCTGTAAAGGCTTCAAAGTGGAAAAATGTTGTCTAGAAAAGAGAAATGAGGCCCAACACTTTGCCTGCATCTTTTTGTGTGGAAAGGACACAGCCCCAGGATTCCTGAGGTCCCCCAAGCACAGTCCAGGGCCCTGGGAACCACCCCATGTGTAGCCCTTTACTTGGTAGAAACTCAGGCCCATGACTGATGCAGAAGGGCTTTGGAGGAGACCATGTGACAGCAGAGCTCAGACTATCCATCTCCGCAATAGCGGCTTGTGGTTCTAAGCCCTGGGCTCTAGGTTTTAGGGAGAGATCTGGCTGATCCTGGGCCCCCTCATCCTGCAGATGATATGGGGCAGGGTGAGCCACATCAAATCTGAAACCAGATTTTGTATGGGGGATTGAACTCGTGACCTGTGCTTGTGAGGCAGGCAGCGGAACCCCTGAGCTAAATCCCTGGCCCCTCCCCTTCTATTTTATATAGAACCCTTTCCTTCATAACCAGGCCCAAGGACCCTCTGCCCACATGCTCAGTGCAAGAATTTCCAGCTGGCCAGGTAGATGAACTGTGGGGAGGCAGGCAGGATCCTGAAGTCTCAGATCTTAGCTTCATAGCTCTGCTATTGAGAAGCCACGCTTTCCCCTTCCTCCTCAGTCCCAGCTGATAAGCCATCTGCATTTACTGTGCCATGCTCACTCATCCACCCCCAGGAGGAAATCCTTCTGGTTTTGATGTTTGATGAGAGATGGAATTGAGGACAGTACTATCCTTTCTGGGGAGTGTCTGAAGGATGGGGTGCAGGAAGGGATGTGCGCCTTCATGTTGATGCACACTCCCCAGTGTTAGGACTCTTCAGCAGCACCAGGCTGAGCTGTCAGTTTTTGCAGCTAGGCTGCAGCCTTTCCAAGGTTGGAGTTACCACTTCCTCCTTGCTGGCCACCCCAATTGCTATGACACTATTTCGGAACTGTTTCAAATGGCTTTGAAGGGGGAGTACTCTTTCCACCAACGTAGGGAGGAGACAGAAACACTTAGCAGTTGCAAGCACTCCTCAGAGACTGGACTTCAACCCTCCATTCATGTTTGTCCCAGCCTGACTTACCAGCCACAGGGCGGGTGGGTGGTGCAACAGCCATCCCCGCTGCATCTGGAAAGCTGTGCTGCCGACACCAACCTTCATGAGGAAAGACACTTAGCTCCCATCTGTCCTCACTTTGCAGGTGTTAGTCACCCAGTGACCACAGGAAGTGTCCCTTAATAATCCTTTATATGCTCACTGAGTGGGGCACACGGTGAGGCAGTGTGACTCACTAGTGGGCAAGCTCCTTGGGGTGGGGCCCCTTATGCATATTTATATAAGGAATGAATGTTCAGAAAAAAAGCGTGTAATATTTGAGATCATTGAATTTTGGGGTCATCAGTACCTTTAACAAGAGCCACTTCCATGCACTGATGGGAGCAGAAACTAGTGCAGAGCAAATTGAGGAGTGGGAAATGAGCGATGGACCAGGTTACAGACAGCACTGTGAGAAGCCCTGGGTTTTAAGAGAACACTTGAGGCATAGCAAGACCAACAGATAAGGAGACAATAGTCCTTGAAGAAGTGCTGTGTGGTGCACACACCATGCAATGCCATGCCACCCAGCCACATGGGGAAGCACTGGGTCATAAGAAGAGGAAGGGCAGGGATTGTGGGCAAAACCTGCTACTGAGGGACAGGATGGAGGAGGATGTGGAGTCTGAGGTCTGGCTAGTTTAATTTCACTGAGTTCCTAGGTATAGAATCCCTGAGTGTCTGCACTTGGCTCTGAGATGTTTGGGGCAGGAGGACAGTGGCTCAGAATGTGAGAGCCTATTAGAGGAGGAGGTAGGATGTGGGCTTTGGACGGGGTTTGTCTGAATGTAAAAAATGCAGTCATAGATGAGCTTTGTTGTTTTTCCAGGAATTGGTGCCAGAGCTGGGTGGGGCAACGCCTCCAGGGTCAGTGAAGTCAAACCGTCAGCATACAGAAAATAAGAAGAGTAATTAATACTCTTAGTAGCAAAGAACCAGGTGAAATTCTGTACCACAAACATGGGCATTATTTGCTGCTTAGCTGGAAGATATTAAAGCATGTTCTTAAGCTTCTGGGATCATCCAATAGGGGAAGCAATTGATGCTACTAGTGAAAGGAGCAAGATTCCTAACACAGAGAGTGCAGGGGAGCGCGCCCACATGTAGATGAATTTTCCAAGAGGAAGAAGACTCACGGATGTTAGGATAGCAGCAGGGAGCTCTCACTTGATGACTTCTCTATTTTCCAATGAAGTGAGAAACAAGGTTATCAGCTGAGAGGTCAGAGGCACCATGGTGGTGATAGAAAATTATGAAAAATAAATAAGCTCATTAGGGAAATGCTAAGAACCGTTGGACTGGGTTGTGTGTCAATTTGAGGTCAGTGATTATTAATATATTGTGGTTTATCCAGAGATGGTGATTTTCTAGGAAAGTGTATGGAGGGAGTGGGAGGGAGTTGAGGGGAATTATAAAATAATAAACATTAGAAACCATGGAGTCTGAGGTTGATAAATAAGAATAAGGCTGACAGCAAAATGATAGGTCCAGTGATTTGATGTCTTACTACTTGGCTTTGTGGTGGGAGGACAGGATTGAGTAATTGGAACATGTAGTCAGATTCTGGTGGTCACAATTTAATGGAAGAATTTCCAGGAACAATCAGGCCAGTGGTGTGGCTGTGGGAGTGAGTGACTGGTTCAGGCAGGGCAAAGAAAAGTTCACTGAAGCTGACGTGATGGAAGAACTAAACCAGGATGGTGAATGGATCACTGGGCGGGTTTCAGCACTGAGCAGATCACAGGTGTGAACCGCTGCACCCAGCAAATCTAGGGGTCGTTTTAAATTCCTCTTTACCTTACCTCTCATGTGTTCTCTTGGGAAGCCTGTGGTCTATCCCTTGCAAACATACCCCAACTGGCCTGCCCCCTCTGTATCCCTATGTGGCTCCCCTAGTCTCAAATGCCATCTTCCAGCTTTGGGGGGTCATTAGAGATCTTTTCACTTGTCTTACTTCTTTAGTCCTTACCCTCCTCAATCCACTCTTTCAGAACAGCTAGAGGAATTTTGCTTGTTTTTTTGAGACAGGCTCTTGCTTTGTAGTGCAGGTTGGCCTTGAACTCACTATGTAGCCCAGGATGGCCTTGAACTTTGCTGTGATCCACCTTCTCAGCCTCCTGAATACTGGGATTACTTGGAGTGTACCACCACACCCAGTTTGCTGGAGGGATTTTTTTTTTTAAATAAACGACTAATTATCTCATGACTTTTCTCAGCCTAGCATTCTCTAATGCCTTCCCATCACCCAAGAAAAGAACTAACCCCTCATTCTGCTTTATAGCTGCAGCATTATCTGTTGCTACTTCTCCCTTCCTTGCTCATATTGCACCCTTTCTTTTCATTCATCAGAGAAAACTCATTGCTGCCTTAAGGTGTATATTAACTGCA